AGCCTGAGCAACATAGTGAGACTCTGTCTCTACAAAAAATACAAAAATTAGCCAGGCGTGGTGGCACCTGTAGGCCCAGCTACTCGGGAGGCTGAAACAGGAGGATCACTCAAGCCCAGAAGTTTTGAGGTTGCAGTGAGCTATAATGATGCCCTTCTACTCTAGCCTGGGCAAAAAAGACTGGTTTTTTTTTTTTTTCATTCAGTTTGTTCCTATCACAAAAGCCCCCAAAAACGAAAGTTGCAAAACTTATGCTATATACAACCGATAGTATATTGTACAGAGAAAGTCTTAAATGATACGATTAAAACTTTAGCCCATTCCTGTTTGAAAAGGGAAGCTGAGCTGAGGATAGAAGCCAATTGCAAAAATATTACTCATATTGCAGTCTGCATGATTTATGCATTTATTAAATGATCATTTCCTTGAATTTGTTTTTAAGGCTTCTTATGAGAACACTTTTTCTAGTACAATTATCATGACTAATTGGGGTTGAACTCATTAAAATTTGCAAATATCTGTCCTATCTATGATAGGTTTTTCCTATCGAGTTAAGCAATTCCAGAGCACCTACGATTCGTTAGGCAAACTCATTAAAATTTGCAAATATCTGTCCTATCTATGATAGGTTTTTCCTATCGAGTTAAGCAATTCCAGAGCACCTACGATTCGTTAGGCACTGGTTCAAGGCCATGATCATACAGCAGTAAACAAAGTTTCTGCCTCCGGGGAAGTTACATTCTAGCAGAAATGGATTTTGTCACGCCCATCATTATACTTTTGCTCAGGTCCCAACCTTACTTATCATTTTTTAAGGCCTCTTTCCTGTGTAGCCTCTATTGAACATGAAGGTTCTGATTAAAACTCTCGTACCATTCTTACAGGGATTCTCTGTTGTGTGTTTTCTTGACAACTGTGACATTTTGGGCTCTGCTTGAAGCACTGGTCATATTCATACAAAAAACAGGTCTACTCCAACAGAATTCAGATGACTGTAAAAAACTCAGCTCACTAACGAATTCTTAAAACATGACATGTTATAAATATTCTCTGCCATGTGGATTTTCTGAGGAAAATGAGAAGTCTAAGTCTTGAAGGACACCTTGACCACATTCATCATGCACATTGGATTTATCACCATTATGGACTCTCTGATGAACCTGAAGACATGAACTCTTACTAAAGCCCTTACCACACGAGTAACATTTGTACGGTTTCTCTCCAGTATGGACTCTCCGATGGGCTTGAAGATGTGACGTCTGACTGAAGCTCTTACCACACACGTCACATTTATAAGGCTTCTCTCCTGTATGGATCCTCTGATGAACATGAAGATATGAGTTCCAGATGAAGCCTTTCCCACATTCTTCACATTTGTATGGTTTCTCTCCTGTGTGGACTCTCTGATGGGCTTGAAGATGGGAACTCCAACTGAAGCCCTTCCCACACACATCACATCTGTAGGGTTTCTCTCCAGTGTGGACTCGCTGATGGTCTTGAAGATGTGAGCTCTGACTGAAGCCCTTCCCACACGTCTCACACTTGTAAGGCTTCTCTCCTGTGTGAACTCTCTGATGGGCCTGAAGATGAGAGATCTGACTGAAGTCCTTCCCACATGTGGTGCATCTGTAGGGTTTTTCTCCTGTATGGACTCTCTGATGGGCTTGAAGATGGGAATTACGGCTAAAGTTCTTATCACACACATCACATTTGTAGGGTTTCTCTCCAGTGTGGATTCTCTGATGGGCTTGAAGATTTGAGGCCTTACTGAAGCCCTTACCACATGCCTCGCATTTATATGGTTTCTCTCCAGTGTGAACTCTCTGAGGAACACCAGAAGTTTGATTAAATGTCCTGTCAGGTGCCTCCCAGTTGTATGTTTTGTTTCTAGGGTGGGCTCTCTGATGGGCTTGAAGTTGTGATGTCTGACTGAAGCCTTTATTGTACATATCGCATTGACAGCCTTTCTCTTCAGTGTTGTCTACACAGTGAATGTTAAGATCTAAGCTATGACAGAAGCCCTTCCCACATCCGTCACATGTATACAGCTTCTCTCCCGGGTGAATAAGCTCATGAGTGGGAAGAGGGGAGTTCTTATTTAAGCTTTGAGTAGATACCTGACATCTGTAGGGTTTCTCTGCCGTGTGGACTCTCTGAGGAGTTTGCAGATGTGAGCTCTGACTGAAGCCCTCACCACGCTCACCATTCCTACAGCATTTCTGTCCCGTGTGACTACTCTGATGCATGGGAAGCACCGACCTATAACCTATGCCTTTCCCACACTCAATATATATAAGGGGCTTCTCGCCTAAGTGCAACTGATGATGAAGTTCAAGATTAGAGCCAACGCTGAAGCCTTTTCCATTCTCATCAGACGTTCGCTCTCCTGATTGGATCATACTACACTGGGATGATTTCTTCATGAAGTCTTTTCCACAATCATTGTGGCTGAAAACTTCCTCTCTTTTGTGTCCTCCCTTATTGTCATGGTGGTGAGCAATCCTCCTCCTGACATGATGATCGCATTTATAGAGTTTGTTTTTCACATCAATTTGCTGACACCCATTCTGATAATTCTGTGATTCTCTCAGATACACTTTCCTCCAGAAATCCCAGGTAGTCCTAATTGGAAACTCTTGATTTTTGATACTATTGGAACTTTCCCTTCTAAGCTTTATTACATAGTTCTCCTCTTCAGAGACCTGAATAGATTCTCCTGCCCATACCCAACAGGGGAGATCTCCTTGTTTTAGCAACTTGAACCTCTTGCCTTGAAGATTTATTATGGAGTCTTGATTTCTGGTTGATTTACTTGTAAATTGTTCCAATATTTGCCAGCACATAACGTCTTCATGTAAAAGGTATCTTAATCCTACTTCTTGAAGAGTCTCTATCTCATTTTGATTCCTGTGTCCTGGAAAGATATAGAGAATTCAGCGATAAAAATGAGGGCAAGTGAATGTTTGTTTACAGATAAAAAACATTTCACAGGTTGACCACATCGGAGCCTTTATTCAACCAATGGAGAGTTCAGTTTAACTTTATCATTGTTTTTTTTTCCCCTGTGGCTCCTAATCATGAAGTGTTAATGAGACTCATTTAGAGCTATACCAAGATCTATGTATGTGGTTAAATGCACAGGATGCAGAGCAGCAAAAAGATGTCCTAGAAAGATTTTACAGGGGATTTACCTCCTTGTCCATAAGAATAATCACTTAAGGCTAGGTGCGATGGCTCATGCCCGTAATCCTGGCACTTTGGGAGGCCAAGATGGGAGGATTGTTTGAGGCCAGGTGTTTGAGACCAGCCTGAGCAACATAGCAAGACTTGGTCTCTACAAAAAATAAAAAACTAGCTGGGCATGGTGGAATGGGCCTGTAGTCCCAGCTACTTGGGAGGATGAGCCAGAAGGATGGCTTGAGCCCGGGAATTTGAGGATGCAGTGAGCTATGGTGATGTCACTGCATTCTACACCAGTCAGCAGAGCAAGATTTTATCTCAAAACAAAAGAATAATCACTTTAAAATCTTCTTGTTTTCTGCAGCACATGTATAGGATCTACAAAATCCTGACTATTTGCAAGCCACAAAATCATGGTTGCACTGTACAACCTGCACACCTGTACGTGGTGAGCGAGCCTAAAGCAGCTAGAAAAGACTGAATCTCTCTAGTGTCTACAGGTAGATTATCACGTGATGCCAAGGGTTTCCAAGGAGAGAGAGGGGAGATTTCCTCAGCAAGAGTGAAGAGAATATATTTGCGAAGGAAAGTATCTCCTCTGTCCTGATAATGAACCCATGAGATGGTATCTTTATGTCCTTAATTTAGCCATTAAATATGTACATTAAACAAGTTAGACTGGAGAGAATTCTCCCTCACTTCAATGAGGTCCTAGTATATAATACTGAATTGGCGAACCTTATAATCAGAAAAAACTGGAAAACATATTCCAATAGCTGACACATCCTATGGGAGTAAAAGTGTTGATCATTGTTGTCACTTCACTTGGCTGAATTTTCTGATAAATCTGAATGGCTAATATTGCCTTTTAGGCTTCGTAGATAGGTACCTACATGTACCAAAAGGTGCTGTGGTAGCCAGCATACAAGATGGCGCCAGTGATCACTGCCTCCTGGGATCCATGCCCTTTTGAAGTCCCTTCCCACACTGCATCAGGATGGTATGTCACTTCCAAGGATAGGTTGTAAAAGACATCGTGGCTTCTGTCTTCCACACTCTTGGATTCCTTGTTCTGGAGGAAAGCAGCTGCCATGTTTTGAGGTTACTCTGGTAGCCCCAGGGACAGGCACACTTGGCAAGAAACTGAGGCCTTGTGCCAACGACCTTGCAAATGAGCCCATCCTGAAAGCGGATCCTTCAGTCCCAGCTGAGCCTTCAAAGGACTGCAGCTCCGGTGGACTCCTTGACAATGACTTTTTGAGATCCTGAGTCAGAATCCCCCAGCGAAGCTGCTCCCAGATTCCTAGCCCACACAAACTATAAATACATGCTCACTGTTCTAAGCCATTACATTTAAGAGTAATTTGTAAATCAGTAATGGATAACTAACATAGGTGTCATAAAAATGATAATCAGGCGAAACATTCATCGGCAGAGTAATTATGTTCTGAAATAGTCCTTTAATAACACTAGTTTAACCTCCACCCACCTGTGAGCTATCTCCCGGAGAGGTAAAGAGAATGAGATCTGCTCAGGACCATTCTCTTTTGTTTTTTTTTTTCAACCTTAAGGGAGAAGCAGCCCTTTAGTTTGTACTTCTTTGCAGTAAAAATAGACCTCAAGAATATTTTGTATAGATGAAACGGGGCACCTAAATGGACAGAGAGAATACAAAACCCTAGAACATTCTGATGTTTGCTGCAAATACTCCAGATGAGGGAAGTGAGGGTAGAACACGCTGTCAGATTTGTTCAGTTTTCTGAGGGGTAGGAGTTAAACAGGGACCTCCATTCTTCAAAACTCATCAAACTGCACACTTAAGATGTGCATATGTAAATTCTACCTCGATTAAAAAAAACTGTAGTAATCCTAGCACTCTGGGAGGCTGAGGCGGGCGGATCGTTTGAGCTCAGGAGTTTGAGACCAGCCTGAGCAAGAGCAAGACCCCATCTCTACTAAAAAAAAAAAAAAGAAAGAAAGAAATTAGCTGGACAAATAAAAATGTACAGAAAAAAGAAAATTAGCCAGGCATGGTGGCGTATGCTTGTAGTCCCAGCTACTCGGGAGGCTGAGGCAGGAGGATTGCTTGAGCCCAGGAGTTTGAGGTTGCTGTGAGCTAGGCTGATGCCACAGCACTCTAGCCCGGGCAACACAGACTCTGTCTCCAAAAAAAAAAAAAAAAAAAAAAAAAACTTTAAAAAATATAAGAAGATATTTTACATTTCAAAAATTTAGGGCAATATACAAGTATATTTATTATTTGTGCACTTTTCTGTAAACAATTCAATAAAAATTGGTCCACAATTAAAAAATAAAAGATTTGCTCAAGGAGGCAGAGCAGTTGGGAACCTACCTATTAAGAAACAAAAGAGACAATGGCAATAACTGGGATCATAATTCCCAGGTTAGGTTTGTTTTAAAAACTGAGGGAGTCAGTCGAGCGAAAGCAGCATCCAGCGTTCCTGACTGCATTCCACCTTCACGCAGCACCAACACACAAGAAAAGAAATGAAAAAGACTGGAAATATTTTACCCCCAATTACTCACAAAATCCAGGGCGTAATCTATCAGATTGGCAGATAGATTCTCCCGGGTTTTTTTGTTTGCTTTTTTTTGTTCATTTGATTTAGTTTTGGTTTTTGGTGCTTACATCCAGTAGGGATGACTATAATTAGCACATTTTAGGGTGGGTGTATCTGAGGAATATACAGATTAAAGATAAATGAAGGAAGGAGTGCAGAAAAGCAGGGAATGAAAGAAGGAAGAGAAGGGCCTAGAAGGAGAGTAGTGAAAGTCGAGCAAGGAGGATGCCCCTGGCTATATGGATGCCACAGGTTAGGGAAAGCTGTGAGGCAGCCTTTTCACTACTGTTCAAATGTGACCAACTACCCATTCATCCGTTCACTCATTCATTCAACAAACACTGAATGAACATGTCCTATGTGTCTATGAGCCCCTGCTCTCAAGAAGTTACCTTCTCATGGGGGGAGAAAGACCATAAACGAGTAAACAAAATATAATACACGAATCTGTCAGCTGGTGATTAATGATGAGTCACAAAATCAGGTTGAGTAAGCGGATGGGTATTTTCAACGGGGTGGTCAGAACAGGCTTCCGCGAGGAGAGGACACCCGAGCAGACACGAATGAAGTAGGCAGGGAGCCAGGAGGATGTACAGGGCAAGAACACCCCAAGCAGACAGAAGAGCAAGAGACAGGACTGCGGGTGGCAAGAAGCACACTCGGCAGGTCTGGGAAACAGAGAGCAGGCCCGTGTTGCTGGAAGGGACTGCGGGAAGCGCAAAGGAGAGGAAATGAACTCAGAGAGGGAGTGGGTGGCCAGGTAACACAGGATCCTGAAGGCTCCATGGGAACTTTGGATTTAACGAGTGAGATGGAAAGTCATGGGAGGGTTTCAAGCCAAGGAGTGACACGATCTGACTTACAGGATCTGGCTGCTGCGGGGACAGTGGGCTGGAGGCAGACAGAGCAGAGCAGGGAGGCAGTGAGCAAGCTGCGGCGCTATGGCAGAGCGAGGAATTCTAGGGGATGGGGCCAGCCTGGCAGGCAAGGAGGTGGCATAAAGTGAGGACCGGGCTGTCCCCCGCACACACTCGAAGCCGCGTGGTTCTCACCTGAGCACCCATCTCCTTGGGTTTCTGCCTCCGTCACCCAAAGCTTCTCTTCTCTCCCTAACTGTAACGGCGTATCTAGTTTGAAGGGCTGGCAGCCTGCAAAAAAGAAAGGCATATGTATAAAGAGAACACGTGACAGGCCGAAATTTTCATCCCAGTACTATCATCTTCGAGTGCTACCAGTAGTATTTTTCACAATTCTGATCATGAACTATTGTCTAAATACATTTTAAGTTGTGATCGGTACACAAATACATAAATAGAAATCACCGAACCAAGTGATCAGGTGACCTGATCCCAACGATGATCTACTTTTACTGCATCTCCTTTCCTGTTTTACTCACTGTTTTTGTTTCACTGTATATAGTTCCTGGCAAGGAGTTACGATATTTCTACCCCATTTCATTCAAAACACTAATGATGTAACTCATCAACCGATTTGAAAACCCACCAAGGTGTCGCGACTGTAATTTGAGGAAAAGAGACAAGGTGTAGGCAAGGTGTCCCACAGGAATCAGGAAATGCAGACCCTCAAATTCAGGGAAGCATTTCAAGACCCCCAAAGTGTCAACTAATTGCAACTAAGACACTCCTGAGGGCTGACGTTCAGTTACGGGAGCTGCCTGTCCTCACCCACTGACAGCAGGTTCCTGAAGTTCTCCAGTGTCACATCTCGGTACAGCCTCCTCTGGGCAGAGTCCAGCAGCCCCAGCTCCTCCTCCGTGAAGACCACAGCCACATCCTTGAACGTCACGGCCTCCTACAACTCAAGCGCGTGTACCTCAATTTATGACCAACATCCAGCGGGACAGGCGCGGCATAGGGCAGGTGGAAAGGACAGGTAGGAAGACGTTCTGGACTCCGAGGGCCCTAAGTCAACTTTAAGTAGTTTCCTCCCCTTCTCCATCCACGCGCACATTCCATACAGTGATTTTCCACAGTCACGCCAAAAGTACATGCAACTAAAAAGTCACCCCTGTATATACAACTTGGTGCCATTTGTTAGTATTCCAACAGTAAATGCCCTAAAACTGTGATTCGTGAATCATGGGGTACATACGTTTTATAATTTCAGTGAGACTACCAAATTGTCCTAGAAATGTTGGGGTCAATTTAGTTCCAACAGGATCTGATAGTTTTTGTCTTCCTTTCTCACCCACCTTCACTAAGCCCATGTGCTCTAATTTTGTTACAATTTGAGAAACCAACAGGCCCTCAGTCACCTTTCCTGGGGAGTTATGCAATCGGTCCTCCGTGCTCTCAAGGTACGTGCCACCTATCTAAGACACGACCTGTGACAGTACTCTGTGTCCAAGTGCACAGGTTTTCACGCCAGAATATGATGGTCCCCCTTTATCCGCTGTTTAGTTTTCCACAATTTCAATAACCCACTATCAACTGCAGTCTGAAAACATCGAATGGAAAATTCTAGAAATAAACAATTCATAAATTTTAAATTGTGTACTAGTCTAAATATTGTGATGAAATCTCACGCTGTCCTGCTCCATCCACCCAGGACGTGAATCATTCCTTTGTCCAGCATATCCACACTGTATCTGCTAGTCACTCAGCAGCTGTCTTGGCTATCAGATCGAAAAAAAGCATAGTGTATGTAGGGTTTGGTACTACCCACGATTTCAGGCATCCACTGGGGCAGGGGGGTGGGGTATTAAAACATATCCCCCATGGATAAGAGGAGACTGTTGTACCCCAGTTTAAATCCCAAAACTCTGCCCCTTACTGTGTAACCTTATATAGACAAATGCCTGAATCTCAATTTCCTCAAATGAATAATGATACCCACCATCAGAAGACCCTTATACAGATAAATGACTGAGTACATCCTTAGAACTGTGCTGTCTAACTTAGCAGCCACTAGTCACATGTGGCTATGTAAATTTAAATTAATTAAAAATTAAATACAAGTTTAAAATTTAGTCCTTTGGTCGCATTGGCCACATTTCAAGTGCTCAAGAGCCACATGTGGGTAGTGGCTTCCATACTGGACGTTGCAATATTGGAAATTGTATTGAAATGGCACTGCAGGAAGTTCTACTGGACAGCTCTGTCATAAAACATATATGCCTGGCACATAGTAGGTCCTCAATAAATTTTAGTTTTTATTAATATAATTACATATTTCACCATATTTAATAGTTTGTGCAATATATGAACTATACGTGATCTAGAACGCACAATTAGGTTAGATGTTTTATTATTACACGCAACGCTACAGGAAACATCCTGTCACATCAATCTTAGCCCATTTCCCCAATTCCATTTCCTGGAATTTATCCTAAGGAAAAAATATCAATGTCAAAGAACACAGACCTTTGGAATTTTGCAAGTATAATGGCATATTTTCCTCCCAAATGATTCCTATCTTTATTTCAAGCAACTCTTAAGTGTTACCTGAATTTGCACAACCTGGCTAAACTTGGGCATGATTACTTCCTTAAATTGTTGGTAATTAAATAAAAACAGATCTTTTAAAAATTTCCAAATAGTTGACTATTAATGAAGACCATCACTTTTTCATATTTTTCCTTTCTTTTTTTTTTTTATTGAGATGGAGTCTCCCTCTGTCACCCAGGCTGGAGTGCAGTGGCACAATCAAGGCTCACTGCAGCCTCGAACTCCTGGTCTCAAGCAATCCTCCTGACTCAGCCTCCCAAGTCACAGGGACCATAGGTGTGCGCCACCACACCTGGCTTCGTATATTCCTTCTAATTCCTAGTAATCTTCTATTGTGACTTGCCTATTTTTAAATTTTTCTCATATTCCTATTGGGTTTTTGAGTGTTATGAACTTGTAAGAGACATTTTTAGGATAGTAAGTCATTTTCTAGCATATTATGTTATAAATATTTTCCTTCCAGTTTCCACTGGTCTCATAACTCTGTGTAAGGTGTCTTTTACCATGGGGAAAACTTGAATATTTATATAAATACTGTGCTTACCATTATATTTGTTTTGGCTGGAGCCCTGAGCACAGAGGTATACACTAAATGAGTAGGTTTCACATGCAGTGAGAACACAACCAGTTCAGGGGCAGCATTATCTGTGGAGTCCTCCATGCAAAGAACATGCCAGTCATACTGACTAAACGTAGAACTCTCTTTTCTTCTGTCTCTTTTCACACAAATAGAACACCTGGTACTTCTGACCTAGGAGGCAGGAGCCTTAGAGATGGCTTGACCCTTGCATTTTTCTGTGCCTTAGAAAAGGGTAGGAACCATCATGCACTTGCTTTCGTTATGTTTAAAATGGAGCTCATTCCAAGTTTATTCTCCTACAACTACTTTGAGCAGTATATGCAAAGGGAAACAGGAAGTGCCTGTAAGTGTTACAAAACCAGGAGACATTTTAAACTAAGTATATTATGTTATTTTCAGAAATTAACAAAACGCACCTTAGCCCGCATGCACATACACACAAACAAGGAAACTAAATCACTGAAAGGAAGAAAATAGCTCTTCTAGCAACAAAAACATCTAACAGTATTTTTCCCAACTTCGGCATTAGTTAGACATGGTGGTACCTACCAAGCCATACTTATTCTTTCCCCAAAACACCTAAGGCGCCTCTTTGAGGGCAGGGGGGATTTTAAATTTTGAAAAGGACAAATCATTTCAAAATTCCTCAAAATACTTTTTTGACTTTTTATTTTTAAATAATTATTGATTCAAGAAAAGTGCAAAGACAGTACAGTACAGAGGTCCCATATATCTTTGACCCAATTTCCCACAGTGGTTACATCTTATGCAACTATAGTACAGTATCAAT